GTAAACTGTCATATAGAATTATCTTAACAAATGCAACCAAAAATTATTAATAAATTAAATAAAAATATAGATACATTTATACAAGATATGTCAGTGAGATAAAAAAATTAAACATATAATAAAATAGCATAAAATATTATTAAAATTGAGTGCAAGTTAATAACAAATTAAAACATAGTACAATTTTAAATAAAGAGTGAATAAAGATGATATAAAAAAATTAAATAATTAATTGAAAAGAACATACAACAAAATAAACAAATACATAGAACAGAGTTAAAAAAAATAAAATTTTTTTTAGAGGGGTTTCTTTTTTTCAATTAATATTTAAAATATTAAAAAAATAAACTTAATGACAGTAACTTAATAAATAAATAAAATAATAACAATCTGGCGTCCACTCACAATCTGTCAGTTAACATTTGTAAATTGTATTTGATCTAGAAAATTAATAAATAAAAAAATATTAATTGAAACAATATTTTTAAATAAAATAAATATTATATAGAATAATATTTTAATAATAAATACATAATAAATACAGTAATGCCAGATTAAATTGTATTTGATCTGGAAAATTAATAAATAAAAACAATATTTTTAAATAAAAATAAGTATTATATAGAATTATGTTTTAATAATTTATACATTATAAATAAAATAATACCATTAAAATTTTATAACAGAGTATCTTTAAGAATTATAGAGTATAAATAAAATTAAAAATAAAAATTTATTTTTTTATATTTAAATTATAAATTATAAAAAATAGAATATTGAAATATTTAAATATTTTAGAATAGCAACTTTTAATAATTAATATAGTTATGAAAGAATAATTCTAAAATCAAATTTAGAATTTACATTCTAAAAAAAAAGTAGAAAATACTATCTTTAACTGTAACAATAACTTCATGAGTATGTCAAGGTATTAGCTATATATAGAATTTAATTATGGAATTCCGTAAATACAATATATTTATATATATATATAATATATATACAATGTATATAAAAATAGAAGCACAATTTTTAGATTACCTTTAAATCGGAATGGAATATCTTATTCCGGTGTTCAATACTTACTTTATGGAGTTCCTACGATATATGTATATATAAATACCTCAAAGTGTTCTATTTAAACTCGAAATATTTAAACTCGTACATTTAAATTGAATACATCATATATGCGATTATTTTTAAGATATTCGAATATGTTTAGCTACTAAATATTTCGTTTTGTGTTATACAAATCCATATAGTAGCAGAAGCTGATATCGAGTAGCTGACTGTGAACAGTTTATTTTAAAGCACTAATCTATATTATCAAGATTTGTCAGATCTAATACACATGGAACAGAACACACACGTATATAATATACAAAATTTTTTTTAAATTAACTATAATTTTTTTTAATAAAAAATTATACTTAAGCACAAATTCTTGAGAAGAATTTTCTAAATACCATATATTTTTTTTTAAATTGCCAGTTGCTAGAATATATTGTATACCCCAGAGAACAAAAAATAAATTCCTTATAATAGAACTAAATGATTTAAATAAATAACAAACTCAAACAATTTATTATCTTAAGACACTTGTAAGTGTGGAAATAAAACAAATTAATTAAGAGTTTTGAAATAAATCCAAAAAAGCATATTTATTCAAAACTGCAAAATGTTTATGTATAAAAAATTAGTTAAAAAAATTTAATGAAAATATAAATTCTTATATAAAATAAATTGTAAATATAAACTTTTTAATATATGTAAATGTAAATAAGATATTATAGAAAAACATTGTTTACAGAATAAAAAAATAAAACAATTAAAAATAATTTTACATCGTCAGAATTACAAAAAAAAAAAACAATGTATACATTTATATGAAAACTGTTTAATGCATATTGAAAAATATGAACATTTGTTGTATGTAATTGTATGTAATGCGTATAAATAAGATGATCTTATTAAACTTAAAAAACGTATATAAAAATATATTTATAATTTTTATAGTATGTATATATGTATAATATTTAACAATAGCTGTAAAATAAAATTTTTGTTCTAACATACACCTATAAATTATAGAATTATTTATTTATAAATGTATATATGTAAAATATGTATTATTAAAAAATATAACTAAAAATTAAAAATTGAACACAATTTGAAATATGGTTTCACCTTAAAATTGAGGGTCTTTTAAACTGTAAAAAAATTGTTCACTATTGAGTTATTATAAATTTCATATTATATATATTGTATAAGTTAAATATACAACAAGGTATATTTTACAATATTGTTTAAAAAATTTAAAAGAATTCTTTTTTTATGTATATAAGTGTATATTTCTATATAAGTTATAATAATTTATTAGAGAAATGTCAGTCTAAATAAATATTAAAATAAATCAAATATTTAAATAATATTATTTTTTTGGGTTTTTACATATATAAATATGTTATATATTTATTACAAATAAAATTTAAATTTAACAAAACGGTGGTGAAAATTTAATTTTTTAGCATGCAAACATATAAAGAAACACATGCAAAATTATTAAATTGTTACTAGGTACTAAAGATAACGAGTGTCATTATATATTATAATCAATTAATTTATATATAACGTAAATAATAATTTTCACCAATTTTAATACAATTTAGTTTAAAGGTTAAAACCTGATATATTTCAAAAATAAAATATATTTATGTATTTAATAAATTAAATTTTCATAAGAAATGAATTACAATACGCCTATGATATTATGAAAGATGTTATATCATAAATTATATTATTATATATGATTGATTGAATGTTTCTTGTTTATGCTTTATTATGAACATTAAAAAAATGAATTATATATTAGTATTTTATTTATAATTTACTGTATACAGTTTTTTCTTAATATATGTCACCAGAATTTGGAAATTAATATAATTATATAACAGTAGTTATAGTACTCCACCCTGAGAAAGAATTTATATAAACTTATAAACATTGGGGACATTCAAATAGATTATATAAAATGAATTATAAGTAAAAAAATAAAAAAAAGTTATTAATTTAAAATCTCACAATAAGGCCTACATAGTAGAATATTACATATATCATATCAATATATTGTGTATTATGTTGATAACATGATTTCAATAATTTCATAATAAAAAATATAAATTTTTAATCAATATATATTAATCTATAATATAATGCAGTAGTATAATGCATATTGTAGAAATTAAAGTTTAAAAATTCAATTAATTCAAATAATATAAAAAGAACTTTTGTTGTTGTAGTTCACTACTTTTCGGAACCTCTCTAAAAATTATAATTAATATTATAATATAAAATGACACACGTGTATATACTTATTCCTGCATAAATTTGTTTTCAAATTTACAAAATAAAAAATTTATTAAAATAATTCAATCAAATTTAATAATTAATTTAATAAAAGAATATTTTTTTATATATTATAAGCTTTTTTATTTTTTTTTTTGTGTTTTTGTTTATTGTTTTTGTTGTGTTTGTTGGAATTCTAACATATTTGAAAATTTCATTAAAACACAACAAAAACAAATTAGTATTTTTGTATTAATTGGAACTGCTTTTTTTTTTTAAAATTTGGTTTTATTGTTTTGTAAATAAAAGTATATATTCATTTTAACCGCTTTATAATAGTCAAAATTAATTTAATGTATTCAGTAAGAGCCGAATAAAGTATTTAGATGTGAAAAATGGCGTATGCGCAAAAAATAAAATAGCGCGGTTAATATTAAATTTAAATAAAATGTATTGGTTTGAGTTGAAAGTACCGTATAAAATTGAAAGCGTTACCAATTTAAACCTTTAAAAAATAAAAAAAATTTCAAAAATAAAAAAAATGCTAACGTAGTATTCAAAATTTAAATATTAAAAGATTGCTAAAATTGTTAAGTCTTAAATTTATTTTACAATGATATACCAAATGGTTGTTGGCTTGTTACTAAAGTTGTTGATGATATCGATTAACAAGTTGCAGATGATACTTCTGTTGTTGGTTTGTTTCATCGCTAGCTGTAGTCGATCTAATACAATTTACAGCTGCATAATTAGTTATGTCAACAACAGCGGGAGTAGCAACAGCTGCAGCAGATATTGTGGCAGGATATAAATGTTCAGTATTACTAACAGCAAGTACACCACCACCCGTAGCAGTTGTTGCGGGCAGTAGTGTCGTTGTATAAAATTGCGTATCAGTTGTGCCAACAGCAGTGCCAGCACTGGGAGCAGATGTCGCCGTTGTTATTATATTAGCTTGATTTATAGTTGGTATTATATTATGTTCATAAACATGCGATGCTTGCTGTTGCTGTTGCTGTTCTGGCTCCTGGTCAATTCCGGATGCATAAACATGCTGCTGCTGTTCCAGCTTTTTATGCGTATTATAAGCCACATGGTCTTGTCGTTGCTGATGATGAGTAGATGATGATGATTGCTGCATTTGGTGGTGATGATGTTGATAGTACGTTTGCAGTTGTAAATGCTGTTCATATTGCTGTTGTTGTATATGTAATTGTATTTGATGATGATGATGATGATATGCATCTGCCACGGCAACAGGATGATATTGTTGTCGTTGTATTATTGTTGTTGGTGTTCCTGTTGCCATAACAGTAGAAGAATCATTCTGATTTGAACTTATTGAATACGTTGTTCTCGTTGTAGTTGATGTTGTGGATGTTGTTGATGTACTAGATATTGAAGGTGTTAATATATTAGGATCATTATTATTAGTACTGCTATTGCTATGACTTATTTCATTTGTCATATCCTCATTAACACTCTTATATTTATATGTTTGCGTTTGTGTGTCAGCAAACGTTGCAGTTGCAGTTGCAGTTGAAGTAGGTACAGCTGCTACAGTTGTTACTGCTGATGCAGTTGTTGTTGCTGTTTGACTATTTGATGCAAATAAATTTTCACTCTTAACAGTTGTGGATGCATGTGTCAAAGTATGTGAATCAAGTCTTTGTCATTTGGAATTGCTTTGAAGAGCTGCATTTATTTGACTCCATAACTCTTTTTTACACGATTTAGATCTATAGAAAAAGACAAAACAATAATGTGTATTTTAGAATAATAAACAAATAATGTATACACAATATTTATATCACTATCGTTGTCTAGACAAATCAATTTGAGCCTGTCTACTACATATATTCCAATAAGAAATAAATTAATGATATAATTTTCTTATATATAGGCATTAAAATGAAATTAATTAATAAATTAATCTCTATATATACTTATTTATTAATATATACTTAATATAAATAAGCCAATACATTTAAAAAAATTTAGCAGAAAATGTTACAGATTATTCCAGTATACCGAACCGAGCATCATGTTTAGTAGAGCCGTTTTTCAAAGTTACTTATTAAAACTGGCATAAAAATCTATAAGGCCGATTATAAACGAAATTTACCTACCCTTAACAATTTGCATTGCAACAAAGTTGTTAATAGACATTCACCTAAAAGCTCAGCAATAACTCTTTTTGCCGAATTAAATTTATGGTATAGGCACGCGCTTAAGTACGCTAATTCTCAATCTGTTCTCCAACTACAGCTATACTCCTCATGACACTATAACATATTTCTGTTTTCCTGTTCTAACGCATACACCACAATCATCAATTTGTGCACTATTGCTCAAGTTGAAGTGGCCACTTCCCTTTACCTCGATCCAGACTAATTTTAATTAACACTCACTCTTACTCTCACTCCAACTACATTCTTTATAACTTCTCTACCCCATTCTAACCTGTCCTTATCTTGTAATTCTTTTATGTTTTCCCCACTATAGGTTCTCGCTGGTTACAGCAATAGCAACAACAACAACTAAGATAAATATTTCATGGGACATACGCCTCACAGATAATCAATTTGAATTTGGATTATTAATTTATGCTGTTAAATTGATTTTTAAAAGTATAAAAACAAATAAAACAAAATAGGGTTTTTTATATCGAAAACAACTACAACTGAAATCAATACCAGAAAACTTACGATTACTTATATCACAGAGTAAAACAATTTTTTATAACAATAAATGTTGTTAAAGAAAAATTTAAAGGTTTCACTATAGATTAAAATATCTATATTTCCATGCTTCAGCAAAGTCATTGGAATCTTAAGTCTCATTGTGACAATTTTTACATATCACAAATACACTAAATACTTCCTCAAGATCAATTAAATCAGTGCAAAAAAATGAAAATATGTGTTTTGGTAATGACAAATATGAATTTATCTTTCATTTATTCCCTAATAACAATGAAAACATATATTTTATTTTATTTTCATATATAATATTATTGAACTCAATATACGTATTTAAAAAATGTATAAAGTACTGAATTGTCTTGAAACTTGATATCTTGAGTTATTGATCCTTGAAAATATTTTAAAATTATGTTATTATACGATCCACAACTCCGATTCAGTTTCAAACAGAAGACAGGCTGCATCACTGAAATAATGTCTACAAATAAAAAATAATATCTTTCTATACAATCAAATTGCATGCACATATAAAAACTAATATAAACAACAAATAAATAAAATAATTATACTTAAAAATATATAAAATATAATAAGATAAAATAAATATATGATGTATTATGATGAAAATATACTTAAAATATATTCATATAATGTGTTTCTTTTCGAATAAAATAAATTTCGAATATATTTCTTTGGAACGAATGAAATCGTATATGAAGGATAGACTCATTTTCAATGTAAAACGAGACACAATGTCAAAAAATTTCAACTCGTAAAAAAATGGATAAACATACATATAGAACCTATACTCATACAGATGAATGAAACATTAACACATTGTATATAAACATAAATTATGTATAATACTTCAATTTCATTATTAAAAATAATTCTTGTTTCATCTAAATAAGAAAGAAATAAAAATGTACCTCTTAATAGATTGTAACCAATCCTTGAATTGAGCACTTCCTTCTGGTGTTATTTGGAACGCAGCACGCGCTGCCAAAATAATGCTTGCAAAATCTTCATAATCGGCTTGGGTTAAATGATACAATTTCTGATGAATGCATTGAATATACCTAAAATCAAAAAAAAAAAATCGTAAAATAGATACATAGAGCATTCAATAAACTCTGCATACATTTGTTGACATTTTTGCACAAGCGGAGTAAGTGCTGAACGTAAATGCTGCATGACCAGTTGATGGTTGTTTCTTCCCAAATAATGTGCAGATTCGATAGCAACATCATGCAGAACGAACGGACTAACAATGGAGTTAACAGCACATATACAAAACTGATGCAAATATTGTGTACCAAGCTTTTTGGATATGCGAAGTAACCATTTAACATCTTCACCATATGGAGGATTTCGTGCAAACTTAGCTTGCGGACGATCATCGTGTACGCGACGAGCCAGAGTTTCCATTGCAAGCATACCAACATTGTATGCAGCCAATAGGTAGCGTAATTGTGTTGGACTGCAACAGAAGACACATATTGAAGAATTACTTCAAAAATTATTATATATTATAATTAACTTACGTAAACTGATGTGGATGTCTTTGTCGTCCCGGAGGCGCATGTGCTGCATGCGGTTGTGCTGGTGGCTGCTGTAATTGATGTTGCTGCAAAAGAAACGGATACATGTTTGGATGCGGACGTATTTGAGGCTGCGGTGTTGCTTGAGTGGTAAGTGGCATGTGTTGATGATTGTTTGCATAATATGCTGCTGCAGCAGCTGCTACTACTTGCGATGATCCTGGCTGACCTGGTTGGTTTGGAAATACAGGCGGACCGGCAGCTTGATACGCTTGTGGTGGCATCTGTTGGTTTGACATTTGTGGAAATGCAGTGCCTGTAGGATGAACATATTGTTGTAATCCTGAACTTCCAGCTCCCGGTTGACCTGGCGGTGGTGCTTGTTGTTGAGGTGGTATTGGATATGCTGGAAATACTTGCGACGAAGGTGCAGCAGATATATACATTTGCATTGGATTAGTTGGATACGTAATATTATGGTGATACAGATTCTGACAAAAACTATATGGAGGATATGGTGTTATGCCAATTGGTGCAATTTTCGCTACTCCTTGTTGGAATGGCTGTGGTGTAGTTGTTACAACAACTTGACCAGGTTGAACCGGCCCGTTTAGTCCGGTTACAGGTACAGCCGGTGGCATTACTTGCGATGTTCCCACTAATCCTGCTTGTGGCTGAGTTTGCATTTGCTGTTGCAATTCATGATTTTGGGATTCAATCAGTGCACTTAGGCTTACAGCAGAGTGATCCAGTAAATCATCATGTTGCTCGTGTTCACTATTTGGAGTGCTACGCAAATACAATTCATACCAGTAGCGTGCAACTTGAAATAGTACTTCGGGATAAACACCTCCACCCTTAGCCGCATTTTCTACCGTTAAACAAGCACGTTCCAACATTTGATCGCTTTGTTCTTTACACTGTAATATTGCTCGTTGAATTTCATTTGGATTAAGTGCTGCTGCATGTGGCAAAACTGAAAGTGCCAATTCTGCAGCTGGGTACACCATGTGTCCATCCCAGCCTCGTGAAGCTCGATCAGCAACACTAGCAGCTTCAGGTGGTGTCAAATGGCCTTCCCAAGTATCAATTAAAAAGCTAATAGCTGGTGCGCCAATCTCCATTGCCTGACCTATTATCCATGAAACATGTGAAGAATAAGTACGGGAAAGCCAGTTAGGACTAACACAATTATGTAAACCCAATGCATATAATCCAAGTTGAAATGCACACATGTGTAATATCCGATGCGGACCGTGATGGTTCTGATTTGTTGTGGCTTGTGTAAAAAGTGAAGTAGAGGAATTACCTCCAGCCTTCGTCAGAACGTTCTTAGCCAACTCGAACATAAAGTGAGCGCTCGCCTCCGATGGTTGATTTGGTATGGACGGATAGGCACGCTTACCTTTATATCGACTGTCTTTTGGACGAGTAGTTGCACCATTATTAACATTTAATTGTCCATTTGACACGCCTTGCCCATTTGCGGATGTCGTAACTGATACCGGGCCACCTCTTTGCGAAGACACACTTAATGAGCCCATGCCAACTTCTAGCTCAGCGCTTGTTGAACTGTGTGGTCGACTGTTACCACCTACTGAACTATACTCCATCGGAAACATATCGTTCACTTGTGCATTCATTGGGGGCGGAAAGCCGGTTCCATATTCATGTTCATCACGTCTGAAAGATGATGGGGTACGTACCGGCGGATTGTTCGTATAATAAGCAGGCAATAGTGGACTCTTAAGCAATATATGAATGTCACGATCTAGCAATTTTTCCATAATTTTGGCTATTTTGCGTGGTTCATCTTTATAATAAGAAAGAAGAGTAAGTGCTAACTCTCCACGTTGGCGTCTAGTGCCTTCACACAATAATGGGTGCTCTGCTTCTGAAACATTTGCTTTTAAACCTAAAGTAGAAACAGCAGCTTCAAAACCAAGTTCTTCATCTGATGATGAACGAAGCAACATAGGAGGAAAAACTAAGCGGCTGCGTTGATCCCGCATTGTAACCAAAGCATCAAAAATGTATGTCGCCAAATTAATTGGTAATAAAGCTTCACCGCGTGATAAAAAGGTACCATTTCTTAAATGCTCCGCACGTTCACGTATAACCTCTAGTTCAGGTTCACTTAATGGAATCTTTTTTAATAATGCCAATATGTCTGCTTCTTGATTAGCAAGTTTAACTTCTAAAGGTTTTGTACTTGCGGGTGGGCGTGGCATTTCTAAAGCGAAAAGGCAAATGCGAAATCCAATATGATAATGCTCAGAATTTTCGGAAAGTACAGTACAAAGAAATGCACACTTTGTAAGTGTAGATGAAGCTAACACGGTAAGATGATGTGAAATCGGATTAACATTCTTATTTTTGCCTTTACGTTTAGGAGCTGGAGGTAATTCCATCATTAAATTAGGTGGATTTGCTAACATTTCCTCTGCTAAACGCACAGCTAGTATACATGCTTCTCGACCATGACCATGTGCGTGCAACCCTTCAGCACGGGCCAACAAAATATCCCAAGCATCTTCAGTAGGCCGTACATTTGAAAATATATGTGGCTTATCTGTGCCACTAGCAGCAGCTGCTGCTGCCGCTGCTAGTGCTGCAGCTGAAGTTGATGGCCCATGTAAAACGCCAGCATTTGTAACCGTTGGAGACAGAATTGTTGGAGTATTAAACTTAATAGGCGAATTTATATTTACAGGTTCTTGTACATTGGATTTCAAAAAAGCTGCACGTGCTGCAGCAGAAGTTGTAGGTTTCATATCTAAAACCTTTGAGCTGACTGATTCTGGATTGACAAACTCATCACTTGACGAAGAAGAAAATTCATCCTTTGATAAACGCCTCATCTCGACTGAAATGGGCTTATTTTTCGCCACATTTGTAGTATCCTCAGTTGTAGAGTCAACACCAACAGTTGCGATTAACATAGAAGACGATGAAAAATTTGAAGAAGACGAGGATGATGATGAACTTTCAGATGTATGCGATGTTGATGTTTGATACGAAGGTACGCCATTTGGAGCCGGTAAGGTATTAACAGCAGCTGCACTGTTATTTGTGGGAGTTGTAGGTAATTGAAAACTAATTCCATTTTGATTGCTATCATTACTACTAGGCGATGACAAATCAAAACTGCCTTGTGAGTCTAATTCCATAAACGACTTTTTAGCATTTGATACCGCTGTAGGTTCTAAAGTACGCCCACCTTCTTCTACACATATATTACTGCTGCTGTCACCACCAAAATCTTCATTTTCACAAAATCCTTCACTACTAGCGCTTGAGCGATTACCGTCGCCACTACGCGAAGCACGTGGACGTTCTGAAACCACAGCGGCAGATATACTATTTGCACTAGGACCGCTACCAATAGAACCTATGTCGGGTCTGCTGGAACGCATGCAACCATCAATGTTAGACGATATACTAGCTGCAGCAACATTGTTGTCTGCTATACCAGCATAACTAGATATACATTGAGATATTCTAGCATGTACACTATCGCTTGATGAATTACTAGAATTATTACTTGAAGATGTATAAAAGCAATCGCGAAACGGTCGATCACATCGTTTAAATGTCGTATGCATACTATGATCTGCTGAAGCACTAATATAATTGTAATGCTTGTTGTTCGCCATAAGAGCTTGAGTTACATTTAAAGTACCGCTATTAACCTCACATTTTGGATCAGTGTGCTTGAAACATGTGAACGGTGAATAGTATATAGGATTTGTATCTTGAGTGTGGGTAATGCCAGCTAATGGATATTCCTCCCAATCTAGATAACAAGCCTCAATGGCTGGCTTAAATCCTACAAATATTTCAGCATCCGTTCTAAATATAATATAGAAATATAGTTCACATATGCATTTTTAAAGATATTGCAAAAAAAGTATATACCTTTGATTTTGCTGTTTATTACTATATGATGATGGCATCATGCGACATTTAACGACACGATCAAGGATTTTTAAATGCCAAGCTGTAAACTGCGCGTGCAACATATCACGTTCATCTGGTGCCAAACCTGGATTTAGAGCAGCTAAACGCCAAAGTACAACAATTTCATCGCATAAAGAACTACATGCATGCTGCAGTGCTGTTGAATTTGAGTGCGTATTAGAATGCTTGCTGTTATGACCATGAGAACCCATCATAAGCGAAAGTTTTGTTTGGAACCACCAAATCAATATTTGATCACAAGCCATACATTGTTCTGTTATTATTTCAAGCAAACGTACAGCATTACGATCACAACGACGATACATTTCACGTACGATCGATAGAAGGTTCCACATGCCTTCAGGTTCTCGTCCACGTAATGGACGTAACAATGAGCTCCATTCGGCTGCCGCCGGTGGTGCAGAACTTGTTAAATAATTTACATCACTAAAAAACGAGCGATTAATTTTTTTTTTTACTAATTATTTGTGACTATGCTTACCTAAAAACTATAGGTGCCGGTAGGCAGAATTTAATTAAAATACGTTTAATATTTTCATGCAACGTCTTTTCATCCAAATACCAACTGGTTTGGTCATTAATTGAAGCACCTGCGGTTGGATCTGGTGCTCCACATACTGTATTTATTGCTGTGGGCTGGGCACTGAGGAGTTCGTCTAATAAACGCTGTGCTGTTGGTAAAATTTGTTGCGGTAATTCGCTTATTAAATATTGCGCGAATTTCTGCAGTTGATCACGTTGTAGCCGTGTCAAGGATTCGGAGACTGGTGCACGTAAACATACTTCTAAAGGCTAAAAAATCAATTATTAACAATTAATTTTGTATAAGACAACAAATAATTTAGTACGAGTTCAGAATCGGTTTCAATAACACCATATATTTCTTTTAATTAATCTTATTAATATTACTTACACAATGTATTCTATGTAGGCAAACTGCAACAACATGGGAACACCAATAGGCGGTTGATGGACAAGTGCAATTACAGGACGAAATTCGTCTTCGATCAAATGTAACAGCAACATTGTAACTAGTACGTGGTTGTTGAATTACTACGCTGGCAGAAAGATGGAAACCTATAAAGGATACGAAGTCAATGTTAATTAATGACATATTTTACATTTTAAGATATTTTCATACCTATTTGAAGTGGATCCTTGACGGCACGGTTTCGGTAGAGTTGCTCACCACGATTAAACTCATCCGCTGAACTATTAGCAAGACAAGAATATAATCGTATATCCTCCTCGTTGTCGGGAAAGCTCCAAAATGCAATACGTAATTGCAATTGTTCTGGTACCGGAGGATAGACATGTTCCACTAATTCAAATGGTATATATGAAGCCACGCATTTTGCTGTTAATTCTGTCAAAGATGAAACTTCTGAAAAAGAAATATATATTCAAAATTAATACAGTTTCTATGTTTAAAAATATTTAAAATATATAAAGAGTAAAAAAAGGCAAAGTAAAAAAAAATTATGACCTTACATTGAATACCAATAACAACAATAATAATAATAAAATATTTTTTATTATACTTTGATTTTATTATATTTTTGATTTGTCAAAAATTTATTCCTCATTCCCAACTAAGCGATCTTTTATTAGTTATTTTTTAACTCACAAAAACTCGCTAACATTTTTGAAATAAAGTTCTTAATAGAAGTTCGCAACTCCAGACAGAAATAAAACGTTAACCAGGTTAACGTTAGATTTTCAAGATTTACCTATAATAAAATCAAATTTTTATTCGTCAATCTAAGGTTTTAAAACTATCAAGATTTCCAGAACCAACACGCAACCCCCTAAATGCCAAATTGTATGTACATATATTAAGAGCGTGTACCATCTTGGCATATAATGCGAACTTATATAAATCGAGATTAGTAAAAGCAAATAACGATAGTTACTCCACATGCTTCGTAGAAAAGATTCATACATCACTACAATTCCTCTTTAATGGATCCTTCGAAAATTTGATACACTAGACCAGCTTCGCACTACATAGTTAGCTTCGATTGAATGGCGGCCTTATACAGTAAAGCCCATTTGAGCTGAAATAATAGCCTGTTGTTTTATCACTTAATGGTATGATTCTGTTCATACGCTGATTAGAAGAATCCCTAAAAGGAAAGCAGCGTATAGAGAACACTGTACGCCAGATTGTATGGTTTTTGTATGGTTTTGATCCATTCATGTAGACTATCGGCAGCTTGAATAGAAGGAAAAAATTCGAAAAATTTTGTTTTCACGTTAAGCTTATTTATCAAAAATTGTGATTTTAGTTAGAGTAATAATAAAATAAATAAAAAAACAATCTTAAGCCTGTCAGACAAGACGTCTTAAGTGAAAAACGTATTGATTTAACATTTTCTGATATAGCTAAGTCATGATGATGCTGTGGTAATCAAAACTCTATTAGAATATTCTAGCATCAAATTAACAAAACTCTACGTCAAAGATTGTACTTTCGTTTTTAACGATATTATATTAGTAGATTTAATATGGTGAGAAGATATTGGTACCGGTCTATACAAAACCTTTGAACATTCTTCTCGATCTTGCAAAAGACATTGGATCTTTTCCAATTTTCTATGTTTTGCAGTACGTTTTGTGTTGAAAAACCCTATTATTTGAAAAGTTGTAGAAAAGTTCTTTCAATATAATTAGTAATTTAAATATTTGGAGCTATTACATTTATCGATATATATGTTAGAATCAATTAGGTCTTATTAGTTTGAAGTTTCATTCTACTTTTCTGAAGTTCTTGAAGAGTTTTGAAGTTTTTCGTGAACTTAGCTCAAACAGAAATACATAAATGACAAACACTTAAAATTTGTTTAAGTGCACAAATTGAAGTTCGCTGGAACTAAAAAGAAATACGCTTAGAATAGTAAAAAAAATCAAATATAAAGAACGTTAAGTACAAAAAAAACTTAAGTAAAATATAAACGTAAAAGCAAATAACAAAAAAAAAAGTGAAAAAACAAGTAAAAACAAACAATAACAAACAAATACAACAAGCATAACCGCAACAACGAAAACAAACACATGTTGTTTCAGTTTAGTCCAGACATAGTGGCACCATTATTCATCGTCATTGTCAACGCTCTACCCTGCTTCGTCTTCTTTCACTTTTCACTTGCAGACGTACGAACTTCTTCTTCCCTCCTCCCTCTTCGCTCTTCGCTCTTCCCACAACTACCATTATTCACTCCAGACCAAATACACATATAACAAAAGTTTTCTTTGTCACCACCGTCTTGTCTTTAAGGATGGGTTACTGTCTCGACAATCTGCGCTCAAAATAACACACACAACAAATACGACTACTCAACTAAACTCAACACTCAACCCAGGCCAACAACCAAATGAAAGCAAGTGAAGCGACCAAGCAACCAACCTTTTTTGCCCTCAGTTTGAACTTTTTGCACTATTCTCCATTGTACTCTGCTGACGGTTGACGGCTGACGGTGTTAATGGCACGACGACGAAATAATGAGAGACGCATGTGGAGTAAAGTGGTGCGTTACTGGTTGGCTTAAGTGCTGTTGCTGTTGCTGTTGCTGTTGCTCTTGGCTGTTTGCAGCTGTTCTATTTTTGTTATTTTACGTGTGTTGTTGGCCCTTCTCTGCAAATTTTCTGCAAATCATTTTAAAAGCGAGAGCAACAACACTTGTAGCTGCAAAGTCATACTGGCTCGATTTTTTCTGCTCGCATAATAAAGGCAACTAGCAACATTATTATTACAAAGCATTTAAAAACAAAAACAAAAACAAACCCGAAAACAAAAACAAAAGCAAAAAAAGAATAACAAATACAAAAGAGCAAATCAAAATAAAAAAAAAATAAAACACAAATAGTACGTGTTATTTATGTTGCCGTTTAGTGTGGTAGTTTTGTTGTTGTTGTTTTCATTAAAGCTTTGTCTGCCTTTTGTTTTGTTTTTGTTTTTTCTTGTTGTTACTTTTATAGCATGAACTCGAGTGTGAATGTTTTTTGAGTCCGCCACTGTTGAGAATGGTGACAAACCCATTTAAATTATTGCAAACCAAAAGATTAAATCGAAGGGGGTCAGTCAATTGATTACGTTGCGGAAGTTTCGATTTTTAATTTAGATTAGTTGAGAATTTTTAACTTTTCTTTTTTATTTTCAAAATTTGAAAGATTTGTGCATATTTGTTTATGTTGTTCTTGTTTTTTTATTAATACATTTGTGATCTATTTTGCATACTAAGCAAAATGAATAAACACAGCATTTGACTGAAGACTACTGGGTTCCATAGAAATCAGTAAAAAAAAAATAGAATTAATAACTATTATGCTATAAGTTTGTGTATTTATTAACAATAACAATGCTATGGTTAATAAGAATAATTAATTTAATTTATAATTAAAAATAATTATAAAGAAGACTTTTTTGACTTTTGCAGGCCGATTCCACTAATCGTTATCGCTAAAACTCCATTCTCTTCGCTCAAATTCTTAAATAGGCGTTTCGTTTATTTTAGAAGAATTAACAATTGTGCGATTCTGCTAACACAATCTCTTCGCTAAATTTATCCGGCAATGTAGATAATGCCGGATAAATTAGTAACTCTGGTGACATATCTTTATCAAGTAATGAAATTCCCAATAGATTTATGTGGCTATTTAGTCTCGCTTATTACCTTGAATTAAGGTAATAATAGATAAAGTCTATTAGTATTAGTATTGGATTACAAAGAAATATATAAATTAGTATAAATATATATATAAAGCATAAAGCTATAATAATTTTGCTCTCTGCCGGATATAGTTTATTAGTAAGAGATGAGAGAAAGAACGGGGTACTAGCTCCCATTTGAGCAGAGCACTGCGACCATGATTAATCTTTTGTGCTTCAACAGACCCTAACTGAACAGAAGAACTGAACATTCCGCCTTCCGGATGAAAGCTAAGATGTCGGCCGTTGAGAACCTCCTAATGTCGGAAGGGGAGAGCAATTCTTGACCCAGTGACCTCCTCCTGACCCAGATCAAGGCTGGGCAGTCACATAGAATGTGGCTGGTTGTCTCCTCTGCTTCTAAGCAGAGTCTACAATCTATCTCTTCGGACAGGTCCATTTTGTTGAGATGGTAACGTAGGCCGTGGGGACCCATTAGATATCCCACCAGCAACCTCAACTCTGTTCTGCTGAAGAAGGATATCTTATTGTAACTATAGGGATGAACCAGCTCTTTAGCCTGACGGTTACCTCGACTGTCACGCCAGTAGCGACTTCTCTCGGTTGAAATCCAATTATTGATTATAGACCTAGTTGTAGACCATTTCATTAATTTCATTTTAACGAAATTAACTTAATTTCATTTTAACGAAATTAAGGAAATTTGGCTATTTGAACATAGTATAATATAAAATATTTATTTGTAGTAGAAATAAAAAGGGTACCGACTCCTGACGGAGCGGAGCCCCGCGACCATAATTGATCTTTTGTGCTGCTTTTTAAATTGTAGTAAAAAGTACAACATTTATATATAATGAATTAAAATTAGATTAGACAAAAATATTCAGCGTTTTTCTGTTTACTTAACAATGAAATACAATAATTTTGAAATAGTTAATTGCATCTCTAAATAGTTTGTATTGAATTTTATTGATTGACAGAATACAGATTAATTTTTTGTAAATATTTTATTAAGACTGAAACACAAAATAAAAGTCATTACAAAAAATTAAATAAAAAATTAAAATAATTAGTTACAATGTAGCACAAGTTTTATTTATTTTATTAAAATATATAACTATTTTAACTACATAAGTCTTTGGAATTCTAATGTGAAAATCGTTTATTTAAGAATTCTCAATAACTCTCTATGCAGTATGCTTCAACCAAAGAATCTAGAGTACTCTAGATTCTTTGCTTAAACTATAACAAATCGAAGTTATCAGCTTTTCCTGTTTTAAATTATTTTTTTTTAACTATGATAAAATATTGCTATCCAATTCATATCTCCAAAATTATACTTCAAAAAATTATAATTAAACAAAATCAGACCTTCAAAAACTTTAGAACTAGAATGAAATCAATTTTAAAATACAAAATTATTGAAACAACTGCCATATAATAGCTAAAGTATGTATTTTATAAACAATAATCATACCAATAGTATGAAATTTAATTTCATAATAAAAAACTGTATACTATGTACGAGTACATTCATATAAGTATGTAAATTGATAAGATAACACTTATAAGGTTACTTGTATAGTAGTACAACGGAAATAACTAAAAAAAGTATTTAAATAAATTAGATCATATACTGTATATATCACTATTCCCTTGATAGTTCGACATCATATCACATATTTGATATATAATAACATATAATATATAAAATG